GAGGGGGAGCCGAGAGGGGAGGCCGATGACCTTATATATTTATATTTATGCTCGAAAACCAGCCTTTTTTCAATCAAAACAAACATAAAACTGCCCTCCAGCAGCACAGGGTGCAGCGCCCGCGGGGAGATGCAAACCGGGCTGTTGCGGTCGATGAAGATTGGGGGGTTTTCTGGGGGAGGATTTGCAAGTCAAGGCATCATTGCAGCTCCCTCCCGATGATATTTGGGGTGCAGCAATCCCTGGTGAGCGCCGGCGGAGCGGGAGGCGGTGGATGGGGAGGAAATACGGTCAGATGGAGACGGAAACAAAACCCAGCTCGGGTTTTATGGCCGATTTCCTGACCTGGGTGGTTTGCGCTGGCACCGCTTTGCAAAACTGGTGGTGCTGGGAGCGGTGCTGGGAGCAGGGCCTGCACCAGACCCTGTTACTGGGTCCATACTGGGGACACCAGAGCATCCCCTTCCCATTTCTCATCCAGCGCCATTTCTCATCATACCAAGGATGCATCCATTGCTGCTCAGTCCCACGGGTGATGGGGTGCCCCGAGCACCCCCATACAGCGCTGCCATGGGGCTCTGTCCCCATACGGGAGCAAAAAGAGGAGCTGCATTGCCTTGTCCCCTCCTCAAAATATCTGGGATGAAGGGGGACACCTCCCAGCCACAGATGAGTGATGCTGGGCAGTTTCCATTGCAGGGCAAAGCTCAAGGTAATTTGTTGAGGCCATTCCCCAAAGTGATCCCTGGGTGTTTTAGCACCGATTTGGGGGTCTGAGGCTTTGCCCAGGCTGCTCTCAGCCCCTTCTTAGCCCTTTGTGTCCCCAGAATTTGGGCTCACGGCCGGTTTCACCAGTGAATCCAAGCGGTGCGAGTGCCGCCAGTGGGACGCGACCCATACGGCTCCTGTTGGGGATTGCAAACATCCCAGTACAAAGTGGTTTTGCGAGGGCGAGGACCCCATCCCAGACTAACGGGCTGCACTAACGCTCTCCGTAACGCGCTTCCTCCCTCTCGCATGGGGCTCTGGCCGGCACGATGCAGGGTGTGAAACCAGAGGGGGTTGGAGAGGCTGCGGCACACGGGATGATGGAGGAGTCGATAGCACCCAACCCAAACCTCGGGTTTTGGCTCTTTTGGGAGGCGGGAGGAGGAAGAAACCCGAAGGGACCATTTCCAGCAGGCTGGAAAGGCAGCGGAGTTGAACCCGTTGACGTGTGACACCAAGCGAGCTCCTTGCTGGTCACTGTTTCTAAATCGCTTTTTTATAATGTCAAACAGGGGAGAGACACTTCCAGCAACACGTTATCCTTGAGACGTTTTCTAATGGTAAATATTTTTGTTCTCTCTATCTCCGCGAAGGGCTCTAACCCTCGGCGGTCTCTCCTCTCCAGGGGGCTGAGCTGTCGCGCTAACCGCATGCCTCGCTAACCCTGACCCCGCTGCTGCTTTCCAACCCCATGGAGCCACCCTGGCCCTGGGTTTTGCTTTTGGGGACGGAGGAAGAAACCCCTCCCCTGGCTGCGCTTGCATGAGGCGGGGGCTCTCGCGTTGCTCTGGTCGATCCGGTGCAGGGGGTGATAATTCGCTTTCCGGTGGCTGTGGCAATGGTTATCCCCCACCAAGAGGGGCTGCGTGATGGGGAGGGGGATGCTCGTGCCCATCTCTGCGCTGTGCGGTCCCAAATTTACCCCTTCCCGCATCCCACCCGCTTGGGGATGATCCCCTCTGCAGGCACAGGGATATCTGGGTTGGCCCAGCAAAGCTGCAAATGATGCTTGGAGGTGCCCAGCCCTGAGCTGCAGCAAATTGCAGAGCTGTAATGCCCCTTTTTTTGAGGCTTGGCACCTCGGCTGCTGCCCCATGGATTTATTTGCAACCCCTGTCAGGTCTCTGAGCCCTTCACCAAGGTAAGGCGATGCCGTGGGGAAACTGAGGCAGCCTGAAGGTGCTGTGCTGGGGAATCTTGCTCACGGTCGTGCTGGGTCCATGCAGCCCCTTGGCACATCCAGGAGCTGCCTCAGGGAGCACCGACCACGGCTTTGAGGGGGCTCTGCAGAGCCTTTTATCCTGGGAAAGTGGCAGAAGGGGGGGATCCCTGCTCCGCGCCGTCACCTCGCTGTAATCCCTGCGATTATGGCACAATTATCTGCGATTGCTGCGTCCCCGCGGGTGGAGGAGAAACCGGGAGCGTGTGCGGGCAGGGCGCTGCGGGGGCACGGGTGATGGGGTGAAGGGGGGTGAGGATTTCCATGGAGCGGGGGTTGGGAAGCAATGGAGGTGGGTGGGAAGGAGCCTCTGTGTGTGTCTATGTCTCTGTGTGCGTGTGTGTGTGAAGCTGCTTTGTCTTCGCCCTCCCCGAGCACTGGAGGCCCTCGCCCAGGCCCTGTGTGGTTTGGGCGAGTCACAACCCAAGCAGAGCCTGGCGTCACCAAATGGGCGAGTCACAACCCAAGCAGCGCCTGGCGTCACCAAACAAAGCGGCTCCCAGCCCCGCGCCACCCAACCTCCATCGCCGCACAGGTACCCCAGCAGCCCCCTCTCAGCTTTTCGTGAGCCTCAGAGGGGGTCTCCGCTTTGCAAAGGGGTTTGCAGTGGTGCGATGGCTCAGCCCCCACCCTCTGCATACCCTGGGCAGCGGCTGCATCCTAGGGTAGGGCTGACTTTACACCTCAGCCGAAATTCATGAAGGGACGGGAGATGGGTGCTGCGGTGCCGAGGATGCTGTGAGCATAGTGAGCCCCATCCTCAATCCCTCCAAAAGCAGCACCCACACCAAACCCATCGTCTCATCTCACCGGTGCCCCTGTTAAATCCTCCCTGGGCTGCTCCTGTGTCAGCTGCTGCAGCAAAGGCTGGGGTTAAATAATTCATCATTAAATAACGTCTTCTGCCGGAAAGTTTCCCTTCCCTTCGGCGCGGCGGCGTCCACACCGCGCTCTTCGGCCGGGCTGCGTGCGGCGCGAGGACCACGGCCGGGGGAGTAATGAATATCCGCAGCAATCCCTCCTTCGCCGTTCAGTTTTGTAATTGTGCTGGCGATTAATTTCATCAAACGGTCCCTTTTGTTCCTTTATTATGGGACACCATAAAAATAGCAGCGGCAAGACGAGCACAGAGCGATCCCAGCTCCCTCGCCCCGCAGCGAATGGTTGCATGGCTCTGTCATTCCCACGCCGCGCGGTGCTCGCAGGGCGGGAGAACCTGGGATTTGCTCTTTCCAAGGAATTTCTTCAAGGCATTTTCATCTTGGGTTCCTTGAAGCCCGAACGTCCCATTTATCCGAGCAAGCAGCCTTCTGAAAAAGGAATCTTTTATTATCCTTTGTGAACAACTTAATGCACTTCAAACCATTGTTCTGGTGGTTAGGACCCAAATTGAGGCTTGATCTCACAGGGAAGCTGTCAAGCTGAAAATGCCTCATTTAAATTAGTGTCCCTTCTAGTCCTACCAGCAACAGCTGACTTTGATAATGCTGGAATAATTAGCATTTTTTTTTTAATTGGATTTTATTTTTTTCCACTGATGCTGCCTGCCTCTGTGTGTGTGTGTGTGTGTGTGTGTTCTAATTATATGAAGCGTCTTCCAAATTAGCCCGCGACCCTGGCCTGGCTGGCATGCCCCAGTGGCGGGTGATGGGTAGGGACCGGTGGCACGGGGTTACCGATGGCTTTGGGGCTTGGTGACAGCAAGGGGACAGGGACCCCTGCTCCATCCAGGGTAGGAAGGCTCTGCAGAGGGACCTGGCCAGGCTGAATCCATGGGCTGAGGCCAACTGGATGAGCTTCAACAAGGCCAAGGGCCAGGTCCTACACCTGGGTCACAACAACCCCATGGACACTGCAGGCTTGGGGCCGAGTGGCTGGAAAGGAGCTGGGGTGTTGGTGGACAGCAGGATGCCCATGAGCCAGCAATGTGCCCTTGAGCCAAGAAGGCCAAC